TAAAATTATATAAGCATGTCTTTTTTAGGTTCTCAATAAAAAATTTATCTTTAGTTATGGCTGAAAAACAAGCTACATTTTCGTAAGTATCTCCTATTTTACCTTCAACATAATTGCCCTAATACGGAGAACCAGTCAATTTATATAACATTGCAAATGCGTTTTAGCATTATACCTAAAATAATTAATGGAGGTATTGCAGGACTTATCGGAGTAACGTGTGTCTTTCCAATAGATTTGGTGAAGACCAGATTACAGAATCAACAAATTGGACCTCAAGGAGAAAAGATGTACGCAAATATGTAAGTTTGGTACGTTTCTTATTTTTCATTGCTAATAACGTAGATTTAACTGATTATTATTTCTGTGAGATTATATGATATATTGATTAAAAAATGTTTTCATCTTAAAATGAAGCCAAATTTAATTTCAGATTAGCACATAAGCAAAAATTAATTTGGAGAAAACTTAATGAACTTTGTGCCTAGAGCTACTATAACGAATCTATTTATTATATATCTGTTTTTTAATGTGCCTCCTTTTAAGCTGTCATTCCATAGTTTTCGTGGCCTTCCTATCGATCGTCTTCCTATTGGGGAAGTGTGTCTTACCGTCTTTACTACTCTATTTGTTCCATTCTACTCTTCTATTTCTTACCCAGTTTTTGATAGTCTCCACCTTGCGTCTATGTCGTATATCTATACTTCCAGCTTTGTCCCATAGTGTCTTACCATCAATTTTTCAAGTGTTTTCATCTCTGCTGTTTCTAACATCCTTTTTGTCCTCTCCGTGTCAGGTCTTGTTTCTGCCGCGTATGTCATTATTGGTCTGATGACTGTTTTATAAATTCTGCCTTTCATTTCATTCAATTTATTTGTTATCGCTTTAGTTGTTGAAATACGAATACTGGCGGGGAATAAATCATTCTTTGCCATTCAACATCTAATGAGGTCAAAGCTTCTCTCAAGGCGTGCCAAAATCCAAATGTACAAAACCATAATACGACCAGCAGTAACATATGGAAGTGAAACATGGACATTAAGAAAGAAAGAAATCAATAAGCTATTAGTGTGGGAATGCAAAATCCTGCGAATTATATATGATCCTTGCAGGGACAGCGTGACAAATGAATGGAGGAGCAGATACAACAATGAAACAGAGACTCTCTTCGGGAAAGGAAACATCATATAGATACAACATAAGATCCATAAAAGCCAATAGTTTAAGATGGGCAGGCCACGTGGTACGGAGTGATGACGACAGACTGATTAGCAATGTGTTTTGGGAAAGACCAGATGGTAGAAGATCGACAGGAAGGCCTAGAAAAAGGTGTAAAGACGCAGTTAGGGAAGACCTGGAGAAGATGGAAGTAAGGCTATGGGAAATAATAGCACAGGATCGGAATCAATGGAAGGCAATAGTAAACGCGGCAAAAACTCACGAAGAGTTGTAAAAGCCAATGATGATGATGATGAAGTGATTTTGTTGCTGTGTTAATTATATTATTTTTGAGATTTTCTCAGCTTTCCTCGATGTTATCGTTTGCTAATATTTCATTCCCAGCGATCTTCTCTAATATTCTTTTCCTGTATAAGTATTCCGTCGATTCTGTATTTAGTTCTTCGACTTTGATATTTGTTTGTGTTGACGCCGCTCTCTTGGGTGGGAAGAGGTACGCTCCGCTTTTTTCTAAAGACGGAGGTGTTTTTTTCTGGAAAACACAAATTCTGGTGCATCTATTATTTTAGTACTTAGTAAACTAGATCAATTGTGCTAGTCTAAAATTGTGCAGGAGCTCCAAATACGAATTTTGGGCAGAATGGACTGGATTAGAAAGTTCTCATCACAGAGTGTCCCACTAGGTACATCCTATAAATATATAGGAAAACGAACCTGCTCGGACCAGGTAATGTAACTCACCACCTACATCGAAGCGGGTTTCCAAAGAAGACTTAAAACTTCAGCGGCATTTATTGATCTCTCAGCAGCTTACGATACAATATGGAGAGAGGGCCTTATATACAAAATTCTCCGTGCAATCTCCTGTAAAAAAAGCACGTTTAATAGGTAGCATGCTCGACGACCGAGTGTTTCAAATAGTGATGGGCACAGATATCAGCCCACCAAAGAAACTTAGAATGGCCTTCCACAGGGGTCAGTGCTCTCTCCATTACTATTTAGCTTATATTTAGCAGATTTGCCAGAAACACAATCAAGAAAGTTCGGAAACGCCGATGACTGAGCCCTCACTACACGATGCAGAACACTAGAAACATCTGAAGAAGTTCTGACGGCAGACTTATATATATTGAGCAAATATTTTTGCAAGTGGCGGCTTCAACCAAATGCATCCAAAACAGAAGCTAGTTGCTTTCACCTGAACAATAAACTTGCTGAAAAGAAACTCAATGTATGGTTTGAAAATACCACACTTTCCCACAACAAAACACCGAAGTACCTGGGCATAACACTAGACAGAACGCTATCATTTAAAGAACATTTAACAAAAACTGCCCAAAAGTTGAGTACAAGAAGTAACATTATACAGAAGCTCTGCGGTACAACCTGGGGAACATCGGCTTTCACTTTCTGCTCTACTGCCTTAGCTCTTGTTTTGCTATCGACTATCGACGTTAAATATTGTGCCCCAGTTTGGCTACATAGTCCACACGTAAAAAAGGTCGACACTCAGCTGCACAGCACTATGAGGATGATAGCTGGTACAATTAAATCAACTCCCAGCCAATGGCTTCCAGTATTAAGTCACATTCCACCTCTACATTTACGACGAGTAGACGTACTTACACGTGAATACAAAAAGATCATGAACAATATAAACCTGCCGATCCACCAAGATACCGAGGATGCACGAAATACCCGTCTGCGTTCTAGAAAACCACCAATGAAAACGGCAAGAATGATACATGAGGAGTTCAACATCACGAATAGCCCCAAGAATGGAATGCATGGCAAAATAACATGCCCTGCATTACCCAAAAGCCACCAGGTTTTGATCTTCCACGTAAAACATGATCCACTCTAAACAGAATCCGAACCAGACATGGCAGATGTGCATACATGCTACATAAATGGGTAAATAATCCGTCTCCTCAATATGACTGTGGGAAGAACCAAACGATCGACCACATTATTGAAGAGTGTCCCTCAAGATCCTACAATGGTAGCCCTGAAGACTTCCTGTTTGCAACTTCAGAGTCACTATCGTTTCCGATCAGTGTAAAAAGCATTATCCCATCATTATTTAAATCGTTCAATGTTTTCTATACCAGACAAAATATACGTAATAACATAACTGATTTTTTTAGATTAGATGCATTTCAAAAAACCTTTAGAACGGAAGGATTTTTTGGAATGTACAGAGGAGCTGGAGTTAATTTACTATTAATTACACCAGAAAAGGCAATAAAACTAGCAGCAAATGATTTTTTTAGATACTATTTATCAACTGAAGGGTAAGTATTTAATTCAATATTTACCTATAAATCATCCTTAAACTATTTTTTTTTGTATTTTCATACTTAGTACTAGCGGACCAACTCGACATCGAGTTTTTTAAATGAAATTTTATATACTAATTAATATATATATATATATATATATATATATATATATATATATATATATATAATAATAATATAATGCAATTTTTAGTTCATCAAATGTCGACATGGATATCATTTAGCAGTTAATTTTGCATGCTGATCACTAATCCGGTGTCAGATTTGCTCTATCTTGACGTTTTATGCGCGTTTCGGGTCACTTACGGTGTCGGATCGCAACCGGAAGTACATATTTAGATTCGTCTCGACGAGACCTTTCGATCCATATATACATTGTGGGGTCTAAAACTTAAGGTAAATTTTAGCTTCCAATCATCTAAAAACCGGAAGTGAATTTTTGTACCAAAAGTATATCTTGACAATCTTATAGGTAATACTAATAATATTCCGAAAAAATATTTTAATTATCTAATATGGTTTTTGAGTAAAGTGGTGGACAAGAAAAGAGCTTAGCGTTTTAGTATATAAGATCTATTATATTTAATGAGAATCAACCACAACTTTAACTATAAATATGATACCATTGGTAGTCATTAATATCTTGACCGATGTGTTGAGTGATTATCATTGATCTTCAGCAGCTCGTATAGTTTGATTAATGATACTTCCCCATTGTTCTCTGTTTGAAAAAGTATTTAGTATTTACTTTAATATGTATTTTGTTTTTTAATACATTTTATTATCACTTATTGTTTTATTATAATATAAATTTAGTTACATATTTTAATTACTTATTTTCCTTGAATATCTTCATTATCTTTTTAAATTCTCACGTATAAAATTAGCTAATTAATATTATGTTGTAACAAGTTCTGAGAAACCACTTGTCTAAATCATTACTAGTTTTCGGGAACTATTAGTTTTAACTCCAAAAGCACAAAACGCTTCTAAAAGCTCAACTATTTGAATCTTTTATCTCATTTTAAAATAAGGACTCATATCCAATACGAAAGTTTTAATTTATCACGGTCATTCATTCGAAAGACCACCCCAAGCAAAAATCTCCAAGTACGGTGTGTACCATCATACTCATGTGTTCGTTCAACTCCTGTTTCCATTTTGTCATCCATCCATGTATGTCTTCTATATTGCATGCTATTCTTATGTTTTTGCTTCTCTCCCTATCCAACAGACTTTTCCCTGATATTATAATTATCACCTGTTAGTGATACTGAAGTTAGGAATACATTATACAGCTTGAAAAACTCAAAATGCACTGATTTTTACTTCTTAAACAAACAATTAGTGATAGAAACTCTGGATATTATTATTGATAAACTGGTCATACTCTATAATCTTTGCCTTATCGAAGGAATCTTTCCCGATGTATTAAAAGTAACAAAAGTGTTACCGCTACTCAAAAAAGGATCTTCAGAAGAAATTGAAAATTATCGCCCTATTTCTATTATTCCCATTGTTGGTAAAATTTTTGAAAGTATTTTGAATAACCGTTTAATAGAGTACATAGAAAAGTACAAAATACTTCATTGTAATCAATATGGTTTCAGAAAAAAATGTAGCACTACTCAAGCAATTCAGGAAATTGTAAGGGAAGTAGTTGATGGCCTAGAGAGAGGTCACTTCGTGTCCTTAACATTGTGTGACTTATCTAAGGCTTTTGATTGTGTCTCACACACTTTACTTTTAAACAAAATGCACAAATATGGCATAAGGGGAAATGCTCTTAATTTATTTCGATCGTATTTAATAAACAGAAAACAGGCCGTTTTTTTAAATAATAACTACTCCAATTTTCACAATGTTGAACATGGAGTTCCCCAAGGGTCTATATTAGGACCTACATTTTTTCTTCTATATCTCAACGATATATTTCATTATACCCACCCCTTAAGGTGTATATGTTTTGCAGATGATACAACCGTTATTAGTACCGACCAGAATCAATATAATTTAAATAACAAAATAGGAAACGATGTGCTTAAAATTAAAAACTGGTTTACACATAATAAACTAAAACTAAACGAGGATAAAAATCAAAATATAATTTTCAGTTCAGATCGAAGACACATTTTTGGATATAGCATCAAATTGTTAGGGATTTTTATGGATGACAACTTAGATTGGGGCATCCATATAGACAACTTAAGTTCTAAACTCGCCAGTACAATATTTGTAATGCGTAACCTGGTTTATTTGGTACCTAAAAGTACCCTTAAAATGTGTTACTTTTCATTGTTTCATAGTCATATACAATATGGAATAGCTGTTTGGGGCAACTCTGGTCATGCCGACAGAATATTTAAATTACAAAAGAAGGTGGTGAGGATACTTGCTGGAGCGGATTTAAGGGATCATTGTAAACCATTATTTTTGAACATGGGTATTATGCCTCTACCTTCGCTTTATATGTATGCAACACTGTTGGAAATTCACGATAATAAAAATAAGTTTACTATAAACTCCCAATTACATGATCATCTAACAAGATCGAGGGATTTAATTAGGTCAAAACGATTCAGATTATCAAAGAGCACAAAGAATTCAATTGATATTCACTTGTATAACTATCTGCCTAACGAAATAAAAAATCTGTCTCCACCACTGTTTAAAAATAGGATCAGAAAGCATTTTTTAACATATTGTTTTTACTCAAAGACAGAATACCTCAATACACCTTTATAACGTGTACCCAGTTTGGTCAGAATATTGTCGATTTACTATCTACATATCACATTGTAATATTGCTATTAAAATGTACTAAGTTTTATGTATTAGTTTATTTAGTTATCGATTCGGGAATATTCTTAATTATTTGTACATTTTTGTTACTTCCATATTTCAAAGATTTTTTATGTGACAGTTTAGGTTTAATTTAGTTTAATTTTAATTCTTCTGCTAATACTTACATATGTATATTACTTTAGCCAATATGGTTAAGTTAATTTTAAGTTTTAATTATTATATCTTTTATTGTATTTTTTATACGGACTTCAAACTTCATGTAAAGTGGTCAATAAACGTTCTATCTATCTATCTATCTATTCGTCGAAGTATTTTTCATCTCTTTTGTTTCTAGTAGTCGTCTCGTTTTAGATGTATCAGGTCTTGTCTCCGTCGTGTATGTTCATATAGGTCTAATTGTTCTTCCATATTGTGTCATTAAGAGATCCTGCCGCTTTATTTGATTTTAAGCTTTGTTGTCGTACTTCTTCTTTAACATCTCCGTAATTAGTTATATGTATTCCCAGATATCTAAACCTTGCTTCCTGCTTTATTATTTTCCCATCAATTGCGATTTTACATCGTAGTGGGTATTTAGATGTTGACATATATTTGTTGGCTGTTATATTAAAGATGTGTGTTAATCTTTGGAGCTCCTCTTCTGTCTCGGCGATTATCGCGGCGTCGTCTGCATAAAATAATTTTTTTTTGGATTTCTTTATTTCCCATTCTCTAACCATGACCTTCACGTACTGCTTGTATTCTTCTTCTTATTATATTATTATATATTATATATATTATATATATATATATATATATACATATACATATATATATATATATATATATATATATATATATATATAATATATATATATATATATATATTATTCTATTATTATATCTTATATTATTAGCTAAATTTCCCAATGTTCCTCCACGTTTTTCTATCTTCTGCCATTCTAGCACATTCTGACAATGGAACGCCAATGGTAGCAACAGTATGGTCCGTGTATAGTGTGGGAGATCTACCTCTATTTCTTTTGCCTTCTGCTTTTCGCAGGATGGTAAGTTTTTCAAGACCATTTCTTCGAAGCACATGTCCAAAATAGCTTATTATTTGTTATGATATTTGTGTTCTTAGTCTTTTCTTTATGTTTAGCTGGTCCAGTATGAATTCATTTGTTCTTCGGGCCACCCATGGTGTTCTCAGTATTCGTCTCTAGCAGTGCATCTCAAATACATCTATGTTCTTTTTGTCTTTCTCAGTAAGGGTCCAGCATTCCTATGCATAAGTAAAATCTGGAAAAACTAGATTTCTTACTAGTCTCATTTTTGTATCGATAGTTATTTCATGGCTTTTCCAAATTTTTGTTAATTTTGCCATAGCGCTTTTTGCGATTGCTGACCGCTGCTTTATTTCTTCAGTACAGCCTCCTTTGTTGGTTATTAATGAGCCCAGATACACAAATTTATCTACAACAGCGATATTGTTTATCATGACCAGATGATTTTGATTGTTGTTAGCTCTGTCAATTATCATGATTCTCGTTTTATCTTTGTTTATTTTAAGGCCCATCGTTAAGCTTACGTCTTCTATCCGTTGTAGCAGGTGAATCAATTCAGCTTCAGAACTAGCGAGGATAGTAGTATCATCTGTATATCACAAGTTGCAAATCTTCTTCCCGCCAATGGTTATGCCACCGTTCCAGTCCTCAGTAGCTTTCCGCATTATCCATTCACCATAGATGTTAAATATTATGTCAAATAAAATACTGCTTGTATTATTTCGTCCATTATTATAGGCTTGACGAGTCACCCTGTCTAACTTCGCTTTGCACTGGTATACACTGTGTTAGTTTTTCATTTATCTTTGCCTGTATTCGATTATGGAAGTAGATGTTTTCGATGGTTTGTACAATATTGATTAGTATGTTTCTTTTATATAGTAGCTGTAAGACGTCTTCGACTTGGATGCGATCGAAACCCTTTGTAAGATCTATAAAACATAGATCTGCTGGTTTATTGTACCCGATAAGGCGTCTACGCAGGATATTCCGGATCTAAATACTTGTTGTTCACCTGATAAAGTTATTATTTTATTGATTTTGTGCGTTGGGACTTTTGTGGTAAGCTTAAGTACGGTATTCTGTAGATTTATACGTCTGTATGTATGAGTTATACCAATTAATTGCCAATTGTATTCACAACCACATATTTTATTTTTTCGTTTATTATTGTAATTAATTGACCAGCTAATTTCAGTACGTCCTACTTTACACATCTCAACTGTTATAGGTTTTGCCTCAGTATACTATCAGTTTAAAAGATTTTTTGTAATTTCTGCCCCTCCCTGGGTAGATCTATCATATTTACTCTGGCTCTGTGGCCTTCCTTGGACCCACTACTGCTTTATTTTGTGCTCGCTTCGATGGATATGACTAAAGAAGAACGGTAAACTTGTAATGTAAACTGCACTAAAAAGACGTTTCTTGTGTCGTAAATACAATATATTTGACATACTTTAAATTTAAATTGGGGGATATTCTCATTCTCATTCTTAATATAGTAGATACTGTATATCAAGGTCTCGAGGTTTCTGCTATATATAAATTGTGGCATTACAGAGTTATTTTATAAAGGCAGCTCTTTCATCTCTCCTGCGTGTTTGGTTTTGGAAACTATACGACAACAGATCTCAGTATGTTGGTTGTTTTAAACGTTGTTATGTATTTATTGGACTCCACCTAAACGTGGAGTACGGCAGGGTTGTGTTTTGTCACCCACTCTTTTTAATCTGTACTCTGAAGAAATCTTTAGGGAGGCTTTGGATGACAGACAAGAGGGAGTAAGACTAGGTGGAGAAGTAATCAACAATATTAGATACGCTGACGATACAGCCATTCTTGCAGAAAGTTTACAAGATCTCCAAACATTACTAAATCTAGTCAGTGAAGCAAGTTATCGGAGAGGCCTAAAAATCAACATTTCAAAGACAAAGTGGATGGCAGTTGGAAAGATCCATATAGATCAAGGTCTGCTTTCTCTTAATGGAGAAGAGATAGAAAGGGTAAATCATTTCAAATACCTTGGCAGCTGGTTAAATGTAAAATGTAAATTGTGACTCTGATGAAGGGATAATATAAGGCTTTTATGACCTTGAAACCAGTTTTATGCAACAGAAACCTGTCAATGAACATTCGTAAGAAGGTCCTGAAATGTTATGTGTGGTCGATCCTATTGTATGGTTGTGAGACATGGACGTTAAAAACCACAATGCTAAACAAGTTAGAAGCATTCGAAATGTGGTGCTATAGACGAATCCTAAAGATATCGTGGGTTTCGCACACTTCCAATGAAGATGTTCTTCAAATGATCAACTCAGAACGTCTGCTCATAAACACCATAAAGAGGAGAAAAACAGAATACTTCGGCCATATAATTAGAGGACCAAAATACCATTTACTTCGCCTTATAATACAAGGAAAAGTGGAAGGAAAGAGATGGATTGGTCGAAAGAAACTTTCATGGCTGCGTAATATTAGACAATGGTGTGGTTTCACAGTAGAAGAATTATTTCGCGCAGCAGCCGACAGAGAAAGGTTTCAGGAAATGGTAAACATGATGACAGCCAACGTCTGAATACGGACACGGCACCCAAAGAAGAAGAAGAAGATGTATTTATTGTGCAACTTAGAGGTGCAACACGAAACGATAGAAATGGTAGAAGAATTCTGCTACTTGGGATCACTGGTAGACTACAAAAATAACACATCCAACGAGATAAAAAAAAAGAATATGCGTGGCTAACCGCTGTTATTTTGGCCTGGGCCCTCAACTAAGAGTGAGAAGTATGTCAATAGCAACAAAGTGCAAACTTTATAAAACAATAATACGCCCAGTGCTCACATACGGATCGGAAACATGAGCAATGACTACCCGAGATAAAGAGTTACTACGAGTCTTTGAAAGAAACGTATTGGAGACCATATAATGGCGGAGTAAATGAACAGGGTCTGTGGAGAAGGCGATATAACTTTGAACTCTATATACTTTTTGGTGATGCAAATATTGTGAAGACCATCAAAATAAACGGCCTAAGGTGGGTGGGCCACGTTATGCGGATGAGAGTGATCCCACTAAAATGACTATGCTAAACAGGCCGGTCGAAAGAAGACGAAGGAGCGACCTAAACTCAGATATCTGGACGATGTACAGGAAAATCTGAGGGAGATTGGAGTGAGGGGCTGGAGAAGACAGACACTTGATAGGGAAGGATGGAAGAATGTTTTGAAGCAGGCCAAGGCTCACGAAGGGCTGTAGCGTCAACTGATGAATGAATGTATTTATTTCCTATCCTTTTTAATTTTCTGACAAGGCCTTTATACACGAGATTATTGATATCATCAAATATCTTTATGTGATTATTTCTGGATTGTTTTGGAATGTTTTTTCCAATATTTTCTTTGGCGAAGAAATATTTTTACTTACTCTGAATTTCAATATAAATGGAATATTTTTTAGGATATTGCCAGTATATAAACAAGTCATTGCTGGAGGTTTGGCAGGTTTGTGCCAACTGATTATAACAACACCAATGGAACTTCTAAAGATTCAAATGCAAGATGCGGGAAGAGTTAAGGCGGCTACAGAAATACAGAGTAAAGGTACAAAACAATTATTAATAATTTTTTTTCTTTTGATCTAACACTGTTGCCTTGTGGTATCTCGATATTGTTTCCAAAATCCCTTGGTTTAGTCACTATCACTATCGTTGTTTTCACACATTGTGTTCACGTTGTGTCTTAACTCTTCCTCCATGTTTTTTGGCAGTGTGGTTTTGTGTTAATTTGACATTCTGTGGTTATTCATAGCGGATGTTTAATTGATCAATTTATCATTTTATTTATATTTATTTTATCCCCTTTTGTCTTTCATCCGTGTAGAAAACCACCACTTCTGCAACTTGAAATTATTGTTTTCTTTTAACTAATATTTAGATACCATAGCTGATCGTACAGTGGTTTTAGTTTCTTTAAATTTTTTCTTTGCCTTAGGCAGAAGAAATAAGGTAATACCTTATTTCTTCATAATATATATTGCAGAATCCTCAAAATCCCTACCAGCTTATACAAAACTAGCGGATGGATATTGTGTATTGTTGAAGTCACTTGATAGTCTGCAAAATTGTTTACTAACTGCGATCTAGGGCCCTGCAGTCATACAAAATATGTTTCAGTGTTTCAAGTTCTCTACTATAAACTATGCAGCTTTAGTCATGTCCAGTAAGTAAGCCTATTATGATTCTGATCTAATTCCTTCTTATTTTTTACAGTAATTCATCGGTATTAACGTATGTTAGTCCAATCCATATTAAATCCTATGCTTGACTTAGTATATTTCTTAACCATAGTTATGCCATGTTGGAATCCAGACTTTAAGGTCGCGAATAATGCTTTTTGCCCACTAAAGGTGGGTTCTGAAGCGAAGTCTTTTGTATCGTCTAACATCGTTAGGTTTCGCCAATCTTCTTTTCGACGTTCCCACATTAGCCCGGAGACTACTGTAGGGCTCCTGATAGCTGTCATAGTCGCCTGAATATCTGCACATCTAGTGTTACGCTTAAGTTTAAAAAAGTTCACTTATGTTAATGTATCTTTCATAAGGCAAGATTACATACATATCTGCTCGGAATACAAAAATTCAAATTTTATTGTATGCTAGTGTAATGTTTTCGAATTGGATGTTGAATGTTCTTCCTGAAAGCTTGTTATTTAGGTAACAACTGGAATCCTCTGGTTTGGTAGCGTTTGGATAAAGCTTCAATTTAAGGAAATACTTTTCCACTGTGTGTAAGTCCGACGTCAGGATTTCTTCTGTTACTTCAAATGACTTACACTTTGTTGCAAGGACCTAGTCATCGGCGTAACCAAACTTCCTTGATCTAGTTTCTAGTATATTAGTGATGTACGGTTAAAGAGAAGAGAAGCTAGGACAGATCCCTAAGATCCATGCTGTTAATTATTCAAGCTGTGGATTTACAGGAGATTGTATGGAGGAAAAAGCGAGAGAACATAACATACCAATGTTGCTCTGTTTTGTAGATTACACAAAGGCTTTTGATTCAGTAAAATGGGATCCTCTCTGGAGTATAATGGAAAATATGGGAGTACCTAACCACCTAGTTAACCTAATAAGAAATCTGTATAATAAAAACTCAGCCAAAGTCAAAGTACATGGAATATATTCAAATGCATTCAAAACAGAGAAAGGAACTAGACAAGGTTGCATACTATCACCATTATTGTACAACATATATTCTGAATATATAATGAGAAAAGTACTAGATGAATAGGATAAAGGAATCACCATAGGAGGCAGAAAAATCAGTAACCTGCGATATGCAGATGACACACTTATACTAGCAGCGAATGAAGTCGAAATGATTACCATCATCGAACGGCTAAGCCGAATAAGTGAAGAATTCGGACTTCAAATCAACACCAGAAAAACAAAAATAATGATTGTAGACAGAGCAAATAATAATCTACCGCATATACGCCAAATAGGGATTTTCGAAGTAGTCGACAGATTTGTATACTTGGGCTCTCTGATAACCAACAATGGTGATTGTTTCTCAGAAATCAAACGTAGACTAGGAATGGCCCGAACCGCAACTGCTAAATTAATTAAAATATGGAAAGACCGAACAATAACAAGGAATACTAAGCTTAGGTTGGTCAATGCCCTTATTTTTCCCATTGCTACATATGCAGCTGAAACATGGACTCTCAAAAAAATCGATAGGAGTAAGATCGAAGCCTTCGAAATGTGGGTATATAGAAGAATTTTACGCGTGTCCTGGACAGAACATAGAACCAACCTGTCAATTCTGGAAGAGCTTCATATAAAAGACAGGCTACTAAAAAAAGTAAACCAAGCATACCTAACTTACTTCGGCCACATAGCTAGAAGAACGGGCACCATGGAACTATTGGTAGTAGAAGGTAAGGTAGAAGGCCGAAGACCAAGAGGAAGATCTCCAATACGATGGGTGGACCAAATGAAGAGTTTGGTGGGAAAATCCCTACATGAAGCCGTCCATATGGCACAAGATCGCAGTCAATGGAGACAGCAGACTAATAATATTTAGGGTGTCACTACGCCCTGACAAGGGCTAAAGGATTGAGGAGGAGGTATCTTCTTCTTCTTCAGATGCAAATCCACTAATGGATGTTAGCGATCACATTTTCCATTAACTCTCTATTTCTTGCAATATGTATCAGAGATTGTATGTCGTTAATCCCTGTCCATTGCCTTATGTTTCGGAGCCAGGACATTTTCTTGCGTCCCATTCCTCTCTTGCCTTCAATTTTACCCTCGATTATAAGTTGGAGGAACTGGTATTTTTCATTTCGCATGATGTGACCTAGATACGCCGTTTTCCTTTTCTTGATGGTTTCGAAAAGTTGGCGTTCTTGGTTTATTCTTTTAAGGACATCTATATTTGTGATTTTCGCTGTCCATGGTATTTTTAGGATACGGCGATAAAGCCACATTTCGAAAGCTTCCAATCTGTTTATATCTCTCGTTTTGAGTGTCCAGCCCTCTACGCCATATAGCAGCACTGACCATACGTAGCACTTAGTAAACCTTAGTCTCAGTTGAAGATCGAACTCAGAACAAGTCAGTACCTTCTTGAATTTTACGAAAGCTTGTCGAGCTTGCTCAATGCGACATTTTACTTCTCTGTCCGATGCCCAGTCTTCAAAAAGCCACGATCCCAGGTATTTAAATTTACTCACTCTTTCTATGGATTTACTATTCAGTGTTATGGTGGAGTTTTCAAATGCATCCAAGTTTCTGGAGATGATCATGAATTTGGTCTTTTTGGTTTTAATCTCTAGTCCCATTCGCTCACTGTATTCTCCGATTATAGTGACAAGTTGTTGAAGATCGACTATGTTGTCACAAATTAAGACACCATCATCAGCATATCGTATGTTGTTGATCAATACTCCATTCACCTTGATTCCCATCTCTGCATCCTCCAAAGACTCTTGAAATATGGCTTCTGAATAAATGTTAAATAAAAGAGGGGAAAGCACACACCTCTGTCGAACGCCTCTTCTTATATGTATGGGCTTAGATATAGAATTGTCTATTTTTAGCTGTGCCGTTTGATGCCAGTACAAGTTTTCAATGCATCTTATGTCTTTTTGGTCTATATCAACTTTCTTGAGAATCTGCATTAACTTGTGGTGTTGGACACGATCAAACGCTTTTTTGTAATCTAAAAAGCATAGGAACACATCCTTCCTCTGATCGTAACAATTTTGGACCAGTACCTGTGTTGCTACTATTGCTTCTCGTGTTCCTAAACCTTGCCTAAACCCGAACTGGGAATCACTGATGTCCCTTTCACATTTTTTGTATAATCTTTGATGTAGTATTTTTAAGAATATCTTTAAAGTGTGACTCATCAGGCTAATGAGTCTGTGATCCTCACATCTTTTTGCATTGACTTTCTTGGGCAGGGGAATAAAGGTAGAGCGTAACCACTGTTGAGGATAGCAGCCAGTTTCATAAATTAAATTAAATATTTTGTGAAGTGCTGAAATTCCCCTTTCATCTAGTAATTTGAGTATTTCTGACGGGATCTCATCTGGTCCAGGTGCCTTATTGTTTTTTGAATTTAATATTGCTTTTTCTATCTCCTCTTTGGTGATTGAAGGGCCAGTCAGCTGGTCGTCTGTATAAACTTCACTCATGGGTCTTTCGTCATGGAAGAGCTCCTGGATATAATTTTCCCATATATCAATTTTCTCCTTTTCACCCAGCACTATCTGGTTATCCTGATTAACTATGGTAGTTGGTCTTCGTTTTCTGTATGGAGGAGGAGGTATGGAGGAAGAAAAATGTTTTCTTGAAAGAAAAGTCATTTGTGATGTTTTTTTTATTACTCCATAATATGCTCTTATTTGTTCGTCGACACTCTTCCCAATTCTTCATATGCTGCTCCCTTTAATGATTTTAATATGTGAGCATAAGGCACTATCTAGTCTGTTTTGGTATAGTTTAGATATGCTGTCAAAATAAAGGCTGTTTACATTAAACTTTGTTTCTCTTTGTTCTAAATTCTAAAATTTACAAGTTCATAATAAAACAATTTTTTATCACATAAATGATGTATCTCGATCATTTATTCATCTTTTGGGAATGTTTTTGTTTTAAAATTCATTTTCGCAATATTTTTAAACGGCTTTTAGCTTGCTGCTGTCTGCAGTGACACCAATTACGTAGATTCTTCAGCCAAGGATTCTGCCCTTATTTCACAGATCGTTCCCTTGAATCGTTTCCTGTATGATGAGTCTCAACATTTCATGTTTTGATCCATTTATCACGTGGCCTAGGTATTGCAGTTATCTTGTTTGTATAGTGGTGATTAGTTCTGTTTCTTTATCAACCTTCTCTCTCTCCCTCTCTCCCCTCCCGCCCTCTCTCTCAAAAGGATATTTAAAAAAGTTAAGAGTTGGAAATATTAACACTACAACTAAATTTTTGTCATCTGTTCACGTACTTTGAAAGTTCACACTGTTGGACTTATTTACTCTTTCAGGACAGAAGATAAACATAATTGAAAAACCAACAGCTACCAAATTGGCTTTAAATATAATTAAAACTGATGGCTTCTTTGGATTTTATAAAGGTACTGGTGCCACTGCCTTGAGAGATGTTTCATTTTCCATGGTATATTTTCCTCTTTTCTTTGCATTGAATGAACTAGGACCTAAAAGAGTCGATAGTAAGTAATGCTTTACAATATTAGTTTATTATTTTTATTTTTTTTAAAGGTGGTTTTTTGACATAGTATTCCAAAAAAAATTAATAAGAAGATGTATTTGACGAGAATTTCTTTAAGCTATAATTTGAGGTAAATAGCCAATTTGTCAAAACAGGAATTAATGTCAGCTGTCTATAATTAAATTATTAATCTACGCTGTATACTCTTAGAGTATATAAAAGAGGCTAAAATAAACGAAGATTGGTTTGACGAAGAATGTAGATCCATTAACCAACAGAAAAATGAAGCAAATAAGATACTTCAGCAGCACAAACGAGATCAAACCTGAAAAACTATGAAAATCTTAGACGAAAAGAAAAAAGGACGTTTAGAACGAAAAAGAAAGAGCCATACGAAAACGCTCTAAACGAGATTGTTAACCACCACAATAGAAAGGACTCGCGCAAATTCTACCAGAAGATGCAGAAGCACAGCTCCAGAAAAGAATTCATACCCAGAATAACAGCATGTAAGGACATCATGGTTCCATTAGTGACAAAGAACATATCCTAAACAGGTGGGCGAATTATTTTGAAAAACTGCTGAGCGACATTCGTGAAGAAGAGCAAATAGAAATTATTTTGCCTGGAATGAATGAAAACGCTCAAGAGCCGCCCTCACCGAAGAAGAAATTAGATAAGCCATTACAAAACTGAAAAATAACAAAGCCCTTGGTTTGGACAATCTCTCTGCCAACTTTTTAAAAGTGGTGGTGACACCCTTTTTAAACACATGCATAAATTAGTAACCGAAATCTGGCGACAGAAGGAAGCTCGCAGACTGGAAATAAGGTGTAATGCACCCTCTTCACAAAAAGAGAGATATGATGGTGTGTGATAATTATAGAGGCATCGCTCTACTTAACGTAACATATAAAGTATTTTCCAACGTATCGTCCAGAAGATTGATCCCCTATGCTAAACAAGTAGTTGGGAACTACCTGTGCGGTTTCTAACCCAATAAATCAACAACGGATCAAATCTTCGCAGTCAGGCAGATTCTTGAGAAAACGCTTAAGTTCGGAGTCGACACCTACCACATATTCGTGGATTTTAAAGCAGCATACGACTCAGTCAACAGATAAAAATTTCTACAGGCTATGGTGGAATTTCAAATGCCGTTTTATCTTGTTCAACTAACGCAACTTACACTCACAGGTGTAGAGAGTATAGTCAGAATCCAAAACGACTTTTCAAGACCCTTCCATTGTAAAAATGGACTGAGACAGGGAGATGGACTGGCGTGTCTCTGATTTAACCTTGCTCTAGAAAAAGTAAATGGAGAGTGCATATTAATACGAATACGGGCACCATCTTTAATAAATCTGTACAAGTGGTCGGATATGCAGATGACATAAACATTATTGCTAGCTTCACAGAATCTCTGATTGAAGCATTTCGATAATTAAGGTCGTCTGCACTGAGAATGGGATTAAACACAAATGCACGGAAAACCAAGTATATGTATTGTACTAAATCAGGCAAGAAATTAACAGAAAAATGGTGCTTGCCAATAAGTGCTATTATGGCTTGATGAAACAAATGGCTTCAAAACTACCCAGAAAAATTAAAATTACTATATCTAAAACACTAATAAGGCCAGTGTTAACATACGGGTCAGAAACGTGTTCACTTACACAGAACGATCAAGAATTGCTTAAACGTTTCGAGAGAAAAAATCTAAGGAAAATATATGGAGGAGTCCAAGAACAGGGCTTGTGGCATAGACGCTACAACGTTGAGTTATACAGAAGTTTTGGGGAACCTGATGTTGTAAAATGTATTAAATTAGCACGATGGATAGGATAGATGTAATTAGGCGGGATGAAGATACAACCATCAGAAAAAATTTAGACCGAAGAGGACCAGTGGGAAGACGAGCCAGAGGAAGACTAAAACTTAGGAATGAAGATAACATAGAGTATGATATAAAATCCATCGGGGTTAAAGCATGGAGAAGAGTTGCCAAAGACAGGGACGAATGGGAGATTGTTCTGAAGAAGGCTTTGGCTCATAACGAGCTGTAATGCCACTGATGATGATGTATACTCTTAGAGCTGTAAACTTCCATCGAATCGCCTTGATATCAATTATAGACAATTTATATCAATACATCTAAGACTATGATTTTGTTTTTTTTAGTTTTACGTATATCCATAAAGACAAAAATATATAGACTTAAAGTGCTTTATCGATTTTCAAAATATGTCCCAATAAGATCGATATACTTTTGCGTACTTCAAACTAATTTGTAAAACAATATTTCCATTATTCAGTTAACACCTGAGCAATCTTTGTTTTAAAGGCATCGATGGTTTCTTCTGGCGTCTGGAATTACTGCCATTGCATTCTTGATCTTTGGGAACGTGAAGAACTCTATTGTCTCTTGGGCAGTGTGAGCACTTTCATTGTCTTGATATAGGATGATTTACTGTTGTGAGTTGCTTTGTCGGAGTTTAGAGATAACTTCTGGTAAAGAAACGGTTATATACCAATCAGAAATAACCGTTCTTTTAATCTTCTAAAGCAATTGTTGCCACATGACCAGATTTTGACACAAAAGTTGCGACTATTTTCCGTAACAGAGATTTAAATGGAGTAGTGATGCGCAAAATATGACGCTCTATGCCGTTAACGTCACCAGCCTCTCCTATTTAATTTTGACTCTCACCTCCATGCGGCAAACCCCGGTAACCTGAGCAACTCTGTGGAAGATTGTGGTAACCAACCCTAGTGGGAAGCAGAGTCAGGGCAAACGAGAGCGAAAGAAATGGTCATTCGAAGATTAGACGATTGGGCAAAATGGATAATGACCACTTTCCTTAAAAAAATGATAATCTGTTTTGTACACTTTCTTGGTGGCTCAATAGCTAGAAATAAAATCGAAGAATCATCGGTATAAACTACCAGAATAATAAAATAAGATATAAAATAAAACTATTTAATATATCCTTAAAATACGTGTTCAAAATATACTACTAACTTATCTATATCTATCACTTACAACTAATACTTTACACCTTGTTCTTGATTCGCGCACCATGTTTCTTGGAATGTTTTATTCGCAACAAAACACAAAACAGGTATGACTGATATCGCACGGAGTTCAAACTGATAATTAAAAATCAAAGAATTATGCGATAAGGGAGCAAAACTGTTGTTAAGGAAGCTAAACAACAACTACTGATTAAAATAAAGATTTATGCGACAAGCGAGCATTCTTCTGCAAACGAAGCTAAATAGCAGCTTTTGGAAATACTTGAGATTTTTAGCTTATATCAAACAGATTCCTTCTTTGATTCCATACCAATTAATAAGAAAAATTTCTATAATTAACTAACAGATTACTGTAGGGATTAAAACTAGAATCAGAATCTAGCAATCACAGCTTAAAAACATTTTTTACAGAATAAACCTAACCTTAAAAGACAGCCGAATGCATGGAGATACTTTGGTAAGTCTTGATCTTTATCTGAAGTTTGTGACTCGATGACTACGTTGCTTTGTTTTAACTCTTTTGAATGTTTGATATCTAAACAGAAAAATACATTGAAGGGTGCGTTTATAAAAAAATCTCACATAGTAGGACTAGGCGTAGTAATGAAGACGTAAGGCTATAACTGCTTCTCTACTTAATCAATTAAAAGTAGATAATTACAAATAGAATAAAAACAACAAATAAACATAATGAACTTAAATCGCAGGAAGAAGTGGAGATACCGATAAAAAAGATATTATAATATATTTGTCAAACGACACAAATTATCAAACCACTCATATAAAAAAGACTTCTTTGAGAAAATTAAGAGGGCGAAGAAAAAGTGTAAGAAGCAAAATAAAAAGTTAAAATAAAAATTATTAATAAATATTCTAGCCATTTAGCAATATATTTTTATCTGTGTTTGATAGGTGATACAGTCTTTTGGGCTACTTTTTTTGCTGGACTAGGAGCTGGTTCAGTTGCCGCGTTAAGTGTTACTCCTTTTGATGTTGTCAAAACAAGACTTCAAACGGCAAAGAAAGCAGTAGGAGAAGATACTTATACAGGAATACCAGATGCTTTTAGGTAAGTTGTTAATATTTAAGTGCATGCAATTACTTCTATATATATATATATATATATATATATATATATATATATATATTATATATATATAATAGCACTACGAGCCTAGTACGCCCATGGCTTGAGCTGTTATTGTTTTCCATTTCTTCCTATTATTAGCCTTGTCCTTCCATCTTTCTATTCCCAGTGTTTCTAGGACTTTCTCTACTTCTTGCTTCCATCTACTTCTCGGCCTTCCTCTTCTTTTTTTTGTACCCATTGTATGCATCAGAATCATTTTTGGTACTCGAGAATTTGTCATTCTTTCTATGTGCCCTAGACACCTGAGTCTCTGAGCCTTTACTACTCCCACTATACTAGGATTCTTGTACATATCTTCTAATTCTTTATTTGTTCTTCTTTTCCATGTATTGTCTACTATCTTGCCTCCAAATATCTTTCTCAAAACCTTTCTTTCCCATATTTCGAGCATACCTGTTTCGCCTTTGTTCAGTGTCCACACTTCACTGGCGTAGGTTACTACTGGTTGTATAACTGTTTTGTAAATCCTTATTTTGGCATTCCTAGATATCTGTTTACTGTTTAATAGCCTGTTTAAGGAGTACACGCATCGGTTTCCTGCCATTATTCTTGATTGGAGCTCCTCTCTAATATTTGGTTTGCATGTGAACATCGACCCCAGGTATGTAAATCTTTCCACTGCTTCAAATATATATGCTTTTTCACCCTCTACTTCTATTTTTAGATTTCCTCCTTTTTGTTCACTGTCATCTATCCATTCCATGTATTTTGTCTTACTTTCGTTGATGGCTAAGCCTATTTTCTTTGCTTCTCTATCTAACCTCTTTACTACTTCTTGTAGCTCCCATTTGCTTCGAGCCAGTATTACTACATCGTCTGCAAAGGCTAGACATTGGTGCTTTCTTTGGTATAACAATCCCTCTCTGTTGACATTTGCATCTCGTATGACCTTCTCCAAACACAAGCTGAATAGTATCGATGATAGGGATCTCCTTGCCTTACTCCTTCACTGACTTCAAATTTTTCCGAACATTATATTATTTATTTTAACTCTGCTCTCAGTCTTGGACAACGTTATTTGTATCATTCTTATAAGTTTTCTACTGATACCCAATTCTTCTAGTGCTTTACTCATTTGGTTCCGTTTTATTCTATCGTACGCTTGTTTGAAATCAATGAAGAGAACCCTTGTCGGCAGATTGTGTTGATAACTTTCCGCTTGCAATTCTCTGAGCGTAAATATCTGATCTGTTGTACTTCTACCAGGTCTGAAGCCACATTGGTACTCGCCGACAATGTTTTCTATCACTCCTGCCAATTTGTCCTTTATACACGCTGCAAGAATTTTGTATGCAGTATTCAATAGTGATATTCCTCTGTAATTTTGACAATCTGTCCTATCGCCTTTCTTATAAAGTGGGCATATAATTGCATCTGTCCATTCTTGTGGTATGTTGTTCTTTAATCCAAATCTCCTTTATTAATTTGAACATTTGCTCCTCTAGCGTTTTCCCTCCATATTTGAACATCTCTGCAGTTATATTATCACTTCCTGGACTCTTGTTATTTTTTAATTTCTTATCTCGTTTCTGGTAGGGGGTGTTTCTTCTGTCTCATTTATTTGGTTCCTATGTTTCTCCGTTCTTATAGGCTGTTGCTGTTCTATCCTGTTTTCGTCATTTAGCAATTCATCGAAGTATTCTTTCCATCTAGCGGCTATTTCATTTTCTCCACTAATGGCGTTTCCCTCTTTATCTTTGTAAAATTACTTCTACTAACACTAATAATATTTTAATGCATCATGGTAAGCAAGAAACTATGGGGTGTACTTATACATGCTTCTGGTTAGTATAGTGCTACTTTTAAGATTAGTAAGTTTTTACATACTTATCTTAAAGACCTTGTTAATTTCGATTGGATTAAGTATTACATAAGTAACGTTTTGATGCTGCAAGGTATACAACAAACGACGTAGTTTACTTACTTTGTTCTTCTTGATGTATCTATTCGTGATGAATGTTGGCGATCATCACGATAATCTTTATCTTATCTGCAGCAACGTGGAAAAGTTGCACATATGTTGTGAGGAACCAAGTTCTGAGGTTCTTTGACCAGGAAGTTCTTCTTCCTGTACCTTATCTTTCAAATATTTTTCCCTATAGAATGGTTTGTAGGAGGACATATCTGGATTCATTTAGCATAATGTATTCAAAGTACTGTAGCTTTAGAGATTTAATGGTGTTCAGTACCTCTCGGTTCTTCTTCATTCTTTCTGATTCTTCATTTGAAATTTGGCCAGTTTACGGTGTTTTAAGTATTTTTCGATACAGCCACATGTCAAAGGCTTTTAATTTTTTCTAATATCTTTGTTTAAGGTCTATAATTCAACACCATTAAAGAGAACAGAGAAATCGTGGAATTCGAAGAAGGCTCTCATCCGGTTGAAGGTGAGTTGAGGGCCCATTATTCATTTGTTATGGTGCCGAGGTAGTTATAGTGCTTCACTATTTCTATAGGACTCTGGTTGACGTAGAATTAACCTACTGTTATATTTTTCTTGCTAATTACCATGAGCTTTGTCTTTTTTACATATGTATTGTGTCCATATTGTTGACCGTGGCACGTGATTTTGTTCATAAGGAGTTGTGAGTCTACTAGATTGTCCAGAAATACAGTGGTGCATCTGAATATGTGTTGTTCAACCGGTACTTGTCTGAATGTATTTTTCAATTTTTATTTTAATTTATAGAATGTCTTCTTCAATTTCGTGCAAAGCTTAGCCAACTTTTCTTTCTTTTAGAGATTGAAGATTAGAACAGATAAAATACAGCATTACTTCACTTCACTCCTGATTTTTACATACTAGGTGTATTCACCTTTAATTCTTCGATTTGCGGTTTAATTCCAGTAGAGGTTTCCAATTATTCTCAGATCTTTATTGTTAATTAATGTTTCTTTTAGTATTTACATCAACTGGGTGTGCTGTACTAGATCCAAAGCTTTCTCGTAATGAACCAGACATGCATGTACATGAATCTTGGTTTTTACTTTTTGTAGTTCCGCTTTTATTATTGCACAACATTCTTCTTATTGCAACGTTCTTAATCCAGTATTTAACTGCTCTTCTAAGTCAAAGGTGTTATCTCTTTGGTCTTGAAACTGTTTCTCTAGATATTCTTTCCACGCTCTTATTTTACTCTGTACAAGATGATATTTTCGTCAGAATCAGTTAGATTTTCTTTCTGTCGCCACTGTAGTCCACCTGTGAGTTTCTTACCTTTTTTGTGTAGTTATCACTATCGTGTTTTAACTGTAGTCGTAATTTCTTAGCACCGCTTCATTTTTAGCTTCTCTGACTTTCCTTCTTATTGATATATTTCTCGTTTTATATCTGTTCGGGTAATTTTTGATTTTTCTTCTTGAGTCTATCAGCTTCAGGCTCTCATCTGACATCCATGATTTTTTCTTAGTTAAGATCTGGAATCATCCAAAATCATGATGAGAAACTGACCAAAAGTAATCGTATTCACGTTTCATCGATCAGAAAGTGTTTGCTCGACTTTGGAAAACAGTTTCACTGCTGCGCGTAAGAAAATATGTTTTCTTGTTGGTCACTTTACACGGTTACAATATAATTTATATTTTATATTTAAATTTTTTCCTTTCATGTAAATTTTTCTCCTTTAATGATCAAACCTCCAAAAATAGACACGTCTCTAACAAAACTCCACAAACATTCCACACAATCATTCCTTATACAGCAAGCTTATAAAAATGTAATATCCAAATACCAACAACCCATCAAATCTTCACTGATGCTTCTATATGTGATGAAGGAGATGCTGTAGCCTACATCTACTAAAACGTCAAGTCTACCATGCGAATCCCAACAAATTGTTGTATAGATAGAACGTTTTATTGACCACTTTACATAAAGTTTGAAGTCCGTATAAAAAATACAATAAAAGATATAATAATGTAAACTTAAAATTAACTTGACCATATTGGCTAAAGTAATATACATATGTAAGTATTAGCAGAAGAATTAAAATTAAAAATTTAAGATAAAAAAGATTTCTAACCAAAAAAAAAACAACCTAAACTGTCACATAAAAAATCTTTGAAATATGGAAGTAACAAAAATGTACAAATAATTAAGAATATTCCCGAATCGATGACTAAATAAACTAATACATAAAACTTAGTACATTTTAATAGCAATAATACAATGTGATATGTAGATAGTAAATCGACAGTATTCTGACCAAACTGGGTACACGTTACAAAGGTGTATTGAGGTATTCTGTCTTTGAGTAAAAACAATATGTTAAAAAATGCTTTCTGATCCTATTTTTAAACAGTGGTGGAGACAGAATTTTTATTTCGTTAGGCAGATAGTTAATAATTTAAGTGAATATCAATTGAATTCTTTGTGCTCTTTGATAGTCTGAATCGTTGTGACCAATTAACCTAATTAAATCTCTCGATCTTGTTAGATGATCATGTAATTGGGAGTTTATAGTAAACTTATTTTTATTATCGTGAATTTCCAACAGTGTTGCATACATATAAAGCGAAGGTAGAGGCATAATACCCATGTTCAAAAATAATGGTTTACAATGATCCCTTAAATCCGCTCCAGCAAGTATCCTCACCACCTTCTTTTGTAATTTAAATATTCTTTCGGCATGACTAGAGTTGCCCCAAACAGCTATTCCATATTGTATATGACTATGAAACAATGAAAAGTAACACATTTTAAGGGTACTTTTAGGTACCAAATAAACCAGGTTACGCATTACAAATATTGTACTGGCGAGTTTAGAACTTAAGTTGTCTATATGGATGCCCCAATCTAAGTTGTCATCCATAAAAATCCCTAACAATTTGATGCTATATCCAAAAATGTGTCTTCGATCTGAACTGAAAACTATATTTTGATTTTTTACCACCGTTTAGTTTTAGTTTATTATGTGTAAACCAGTTTTTAATTTTAAGCACATCGTTTCCTATTTTGTTATTTAAATTATATTGATTCTGGTCGGTACTAATAACGGTTGTATCATCTGCAAAACATATACACCTTAAGGGGTGGGTATAATGAAATATATCGTTGAGATATAGAAGAAAAAATATAGGTCCTAATATAGACCCTTGGGGAACTCCATGTTCAGCATTGTGAAAATTGGAATAATTATTATTTAAAAAAACGGCCTGTTTTCTGTTTATTAAATACGATCGAAATAAATTAAGAGCATTTCCCGTTATATATATTTCCATTTCCCCAGCATTTCCCTTTATATATACTGGAGAACTTACGGCAATTCACCAGGCCATGAAAAAATGTGGTTCTATTCAATGAAAACAAATTTGTTATCATCACCGATTAAATTGAGCGCCATTACTAAGAATAAAACAGCTGTATAAAACTCACGCCATACTTCTCAAGATCAAAAAAGAGTTATCTTATCAACAGACTCAACAAAAAGATATTTCCTTCATTTGGGTACCTTCTCATATGGGAGTAAGTGGTAATGAGGAAGCTCTGGCAAGCAATGGAACAACCGACCAAAGACAACCAACCAAAGACAAAGTCATCATCAACCGACTCCAAATAGGACATACTTCCCTTACCCACAAGCATATCTTCAACCAGGAAGCTGCTTCGATGTGTACCAAGTGCAACACTTAGTTGTCAGTGAAACATATAACTATGGAGTGTCTAGTGTATCAGAACGAAAGAATCACATGTGCCCTTAGTGACAATTTAAAAACTGTCAAACTTACAGTCTTTATTAAGTTATCTTAAAATGATTAAACTATATACCAGATTGTAAATTTTTTTTTTTATGTAACAATATGTATCTTACTGTTTGTGTATGTCCCCCCGCTAATAACTCTTAGTGGTTGATGCGGATATATGTGTTTAAATAAAAAAAATGCTTATAATATTTAGCTAATAATATTAAGAATTCTAATTTACAAAATACATTTCCATTCACATTAAAATAATCCAACATTTTCAATAAATATTTTATAGTGTTGATGCCTGCTGATGCATGCTGCTGTTCTAAGAAATGGTTTTAAATAATGAGAGAGGTTAATTGGCACACGCGAACAAGAAAAAACAGGGTTCTTAAAACCATAATAGTGGTATACCATCCCAACAAGAAACAAATTCTAATAATGATAAATTCGGGGAAACAATCAATTTAGTCACAGAAAAAGTAAAAAGGAACATCCGACCTAGCAAATTAACAATAAAATAAGCGAAAATTATGAAATTTTCAGGGGGAATAATAATTAATATCAACGGTACACGAATGCCATACTTCAGATACAAAATTAATGACATAAAATGATAAGTTAAAAATATGATAAGTAAAGTTGTTTACTGGATCAACAAACAGGAAAGAAATAATAAAGTCCTGATTAAACAAAGAAATAAAATAGAATAGAAACATATGAAAAGAAATGCGATAAATAAAAAAATACTAGTATTTACATACTATGTTTATTAACAAAAAGGCATAATTTCATTATAATTTATTAATAATTTTTTTTACGTTTGATTTCGACTTCGCAAATTGTATTGTGTAGAACGATTTTCGAAATCGAAACTTTAACTTCAAAATGCCGATTTCGGTGTAACATGTTATTCACAACTACATGCAATAAACACTTTAAGAATAAAGTTTAAATTCATTTATTTGAAACAGTTACTTTTGTCTATTTTAGGAGAATATTTCTACGAGAAGGCCCAAAGGCATTTTTTAAAGGAGGATTTTGCAGAATATTGGTGATCGCTCCGCTCTTTGGTATAGCTCAAACAGTGTATTTTTTGGGTATTGCTGAATGGTTGCTTGGTGTTGACAAACACGGAATATTAAGAGAAGAGCATAAAACCAAAAAGGAATAAAAAGCATCGTTTAAATTTTTCACTATATTAACTTTTACATAATATATGTATTAACGTGATAGTTTTTTATTATTTCCTCAATTTCATTTGGAGGTATATCGATTAGCTTCTTGGTGCATTTAATAAGAGATAATTGCGAAGATTTAAAGTATTTTTGGATAACGTTACTAAATATTTCATATATAGGATCTTCGAAGTACAAATGATATTTAACTTTAGGTGCTATATATTCTTTGACAAATCTAACTATGTCGCGTTCAGTGTCATTTTTTGAGAATTGTACAAGAATTCTTTGTTTTTTATCAAAAAGTTTTATTATAGATGGTGCTGCTGGTTCGTAATTAACTTGAGAAATAATAATTTGATTCATTCCAGTGTTAACCGAGCTTTCTGATATAGGTATACCTGTAATCGGATTTTCTCTGTTTGTGTGCATTGTAACACCATCGCTATCTTGGGCATCTTCATCATTGACATCTTGGTCATTTATTATTTCATCGGGTTCAACAATCAAAGACTCTGAGTCTAAATTATTTGGGGTTCCTAATAATGTTTCATCAAAATTTTCTATATAGTCGAAGAAATTTGGAGGTGTTTCGGGTTCGATGTCATGAGTTTCATTTGCATTTAATCGTATTCTTGATAGACAATCACTATTTGTGTTTAAAGCACCTTTTTTATAAACAATTTCATAGTCATACTCTTCGAGCTTTAATCTCCAGCGAACTAATTTTGAGCTAGGATCTTTTAATGAAAATAGCCATTGAAGAGGCTTGTGATCTGTCACTAGAGTCACGCGACGACCAAAAATGTATGGGCGGAAATATTTGACAGCCCAAACTATAGCGAGGAGTTCCTTTTCTATCGTAGAGTAGTTTATTTCTGAATCGTTCAATGTTCTACTCGCATAAGCAATTGGGAGATCAGATCCTATTTTTCCTTGACTTAAAACTGCACCTATTGCAAAGTTACTCGCATCTGTTGTTAGATTAAATGGTTTCGTAAAGTCAGGATATTGTAGTATAGGTTCATTTGTAAGAAGTTCTTTACAAATATTAAAGCATTCAACATAATCTGCGTCTTTAATATTTATTTCGTTATTCTTCTTTAGTCGCACTGTTAAGGGTTTCGTGATTTTTGAAAAATCTTTAATAAATTTCCGATAATATCCCAATAGTCCTAGGAATCCTTTTAATTGTTTAGTTGTAGCAGGTATTGGGAATTGTTTTATAGCCTTTATTTTGTCTGGATTTGGCTTTACTCCGTCTGGAGTGACAATATGACCTAAGTAGGCCACTTCTTTTTTAAAAATTCGGATTTGTCCAACTGTATCTTAAAGTTGGATTCACGTAGTCTCTGGAATACTTCTCTTAAATTTATGAGATGTTCTTGGAGGCTAGTGCTAAATATTATGATGTCATCTAGGTAGACAAGGCATTTTTCGTTTTGTATTCCTCTCAATATGTTATCCATTACTCTCTGGAATGTAGCTGGGGCATTTCTAAGTCCAAATGGCATTCTTAAGAATTCATAATGACCGTTTTCGGTGTTAAAAGCGGTTTTTGGGATGTCTTCTTCTGCCATTTCTATCTGGTGAAACCCGGATGCTAAGTCTAGCGTGGTAAAGTACTGACAACGCCCTAATTTGTCCAAGAGATCAGTAATGTTTGGGAGTGGATATCTATCTCCTAAAGTGATAGCATTTAAACGTCGGTAGTCAACTACAACGCGAAATTTTGGTTTGTTAGAGGCATCGAGTTTTTTGGGAACCACCCAAATTGGTGAGGACCATGGAGAATTAGACGGTCTAATGATATTTTGGTCTAACATGCCTTGAATTTGGTTTTGGACTTCTTTACGATATATTTCCGGATATCTATACGATTTAGAATAAATTGGAATCTCGTTAGAAGTTTTTATATTATGTTTGATTTGATTAGTGAAAGACAATTGGTTACCCTCAATATGAAAAATGTCCGAATATTCTCTTATTAGTTTTAAAATAGAATTCCGCTCTTCGGTATTCATATGATCAGTACGGATTTTAGAAATATCAAATTTGAATTTTTTGGTATATATAGAATTAAGATTGGGATGATTTATTTGTTCGTATTCATCGAACTTTTCTACTTCTATTGGCGAAGTTAAATCAACTTTAAAATGGGACTCTGATGAGTTCGTAATAGTGCATAAGGCTTCATTATTAATAACTCTAGTAATACATTGGGGAATTTCTAATTTTCCTAATTTTGTATAAGGTACAATTACGTCACCATTTTCTATATTTTTTATGTTTAACTTAATTACTTGTTCGGAACGTGGAGACACTACTATACAATTCGTGCTGCCAGCGGCCGGTCTATAATAGTTAATTTTAATTGAGCAAGTAGGTGTTTTTAGTAAATTATTTACTAAATCAATATTTGCTTGTAATAATTTTAAATTATCTAGTCCCAATAAGCAATCGAAATAATCGTGAAACTTAAATATGTGATAATTTAATTTTATCGGCTTTTTATGCCTAAATATAGACGAAGAAGGAATTACGGTACAGAAATTTTCCTTGGTAGTTCCAAGAGCAGTAGAAATTTGAAATGGTTTTTTAAATATTGAATTTTTAAAATATTTTTCACCTATTTTTGGTGTAATAAAAGATTTAGTGCTCCCGGTATCTATTAGAACTTTTAAATTTTGTTCAGGGAAAATTATGTACGGCAATTCGCATTCTTTGTTAGTTAAGTTTAATAATTCTACATGCTGTGGTTTTATTCCGAGGCTAGCTCCTCTAAAAAATGGTCTTGGGATGAACTTTCAGGACAATCTATATTATCTATATTATAAAGTTCTTCCGCGATAATATTTTTATTTTGGCTTGCGAAATTATTGGGGTTACGGAAATGGGTCCTATTTTGGAAGTTTTGCGTTGGTCTGTATGTATTATTAGTTGTCGTACTCATTGGAGTAGGGTTTGGGAATTTTCTATTCGGATTTGGCTTGAAAGCATCATTATTTCCATTAAAATTTGAATTTTTGCTTGTACTAGGATTATTTTGGAAAGAAGATTGTCTCATATATTGAGAATTCTGAGGATGTATAGTGTTTTTTCTGTGTTGAAAATTGATTCCTTTGTGTGTATTGAATTTGGGGTTGATGTATAATTTGTTGGTTTTGTCGGAAATTGGATTTTGGCCTAGGTGAATAATTATTATTTTGATAATGTTTAGGATATTTACTGTGAGAAGAATTATTTTGTTCGAGATATATTTGAAAATCGTTTGTCAGAATGCCTAATGCAGAATTTAAATCTGGAGGATTCTTTGTACGCATTAAGGTTCCAAGAGGTTCTTTTAACCCACGCAACAGTACTCTTAATGCTAAATTTCGGAAAAAGCTACCGAGAATATTAATCTCAACCATATGTTCGGTTTTTGTAGACAAAACAGATATTTGAAGATTTAATAGGTGTTGAATTCGGTTATAAAAATCGAAAGGGGATTCATTGCCTTGTTTTAAATCTGAAATTTCTATGCTTAAAGTATAAATATCTCTTTTATCTGAATACGAATTTATTAAAGCATCTTTTAAATCCTGCCAAGTTCTAAGAATACAAGAAGAAATATTAATTGCGGCTTCGCCTTTTATTTTTGCTATTATGCTTGACATCAGATATTCATTTTGAAAATCATTTACATCCGCAGCATTATAAAATTTATTTACAATTTTTTCGCAAATTTCTAAAAATCTAGGAAGTAATGTATGATTTCCATCAAAATCTGGAATCATATCTAAGTATTCTTTCTTTAATTGTGGAACTGCCATGTTAAATTTATTATTTAGTTTTAATATTTTTGGAATTAATTTAGTATTAATATTAAAATTTAAATCAGTTAAAATTGAGTCAGAATCTGTATCTGAGTTACTACTCTCTGAATAATCAGAATCTAGTGTTAAATTAGGCTCTCTATATGACATTAATTCACTTACAGTAATGTAGCGATCTTGTCCATGGAATGCCTGGCTTTGGAACTGGATCTAGAGACACTCACAATATTCACTTGAAAGTCTCTCCGGTATAGAAGTACGAATCTTCTCGTCAGGTTACTCAATTCGCCCAACTGGAATTCACTTCGCGAATATGGTTCAAATGGTCAAAAAATCGTAGAAACGAACCGAGAGTTATATTCATTAACGCCCGTTTGACCATCCAATCTGACTGCGCCAAATATATTAGAGTGTTCCAAAACTATATTTTTAAAAAATATTTATTTAACACAAAAATAGTACACTACGTTTTGATACAATAAAAGCAGAATCTAGACTAACTAACAATATGATTTTTAATACTGAAATCAATTTAATAATGAAAATGCAATGTATAATGTTCGTTGTCGTATGTTGTCTTAATCAGCGTTCTTCAGTTCACTGGACTTGGGTCATTACCTTATTAAAGCTTAGTTCGTAATTTATAGGTCGATAACTTATATATATATTATATATATATATATATATATATAAATATATACTATATATATATATATATATAAAAAGAAGTACTTGTGACTCGTTTGGAAAAAATGTCAACTTTTTTGTTACTAAACAAGAAGAATTTTTAAACAAAATTTTATTTTTGACAATATGTCAAAAATAAAAATTTTTAAGTTAGATATTTATGACATTTAGGCTGGTTTGTAGCTATTCAATTTTTGTTTACAAATTCAATTGTTTTTTGTTAAGAAAACTTCATCAAAATTTTTCAGAGAAACATTTATTAGAATAAGACATTTTTTTATTAATATTTTTTGTCATTAATATGTAAGCAGCAGTTTTATATAACAAACTAATTTTATTTGGTGAGTTAACAAAAAATTTTTATTTCTAGTTCAACTTTGTAAGATATTTTGTATTTTTTAGAAGCTCTTGATAATAATTGTTATCACAATTGAAAGCTCGAGTAAAAAAATAGTCAACAAATAGCCCCTTTTATTGACTCCAACCACTCAAGATACAGAAATATTAGTTAAAATCTCAAAATCCCAATTATTATTCTTAATCTCCCAATCAAAATATTTATAATTT